TGATGTTTTTACCAGACAGGATACGCTTTTCCCTTTCTGGTTGGACTTCATAATTCAAAAAATGCTTGCCAACTAAGGAACACTACTCGACTCCTGGGTGATCGAAGAAGTCGTTGATGTCACCAAATTAAGGGACCAGTCGTCAGCTACTACAGTCTAAGACATTCAATATATCATAACGTATTTTTGCTTATGAGGAACAGAAAAGTGGTTCTGGGGGAATGGTTTCGTGGATGTCTCGGACCTGACTTTTTCTTTGTCTCATCCAAACAATGGCTGTGATAGTGGAGAAGGCAGCCGCGCGTACGTACACGAGTGTGGATTGATTACGCCGCCCCACTCCGCCTGGATGTGAGCAGCTGGGACTGCTCCCGGTGGTTGTATCGAACGGCTCAAATTATGATAGTACAATTGTGATATTATGATGCCACCGGTAGCTCGTTTGGTGTGATGTTTCAAGACATATCTCTTCCCCCGAGGAGATTGGGATTGACTTTTGTAAGACAGAATGCCCTGGCAAAAGGCGACATTTTTAATATTGACCGCGGTAAAAGAAAACGAAAAAGTCGCACCTCAGAATAAAATAGTCTGCAACTAATACGCGATAGGAACATCAATAATGCCACCAAGTGCATCTATTAGAATATATGAATAAGCTGTGACTATGGTATAATAATGTGTTCTTTTTATCTTGATTCATGAGCAGTGTTTTGCGTGTCGGTGTGGACACACGTCATGATAAAAGAGAGCTGGGTTTTTCCCTGTTGGAATATAACTATGATTATACAGAAATAAAACCACGGAAGTAGTTGACCTGTTATTGTGGTCCTTACCCCAAAAGTGACGTACGAATGACGTACTGCGATTTCCACAATCTCCTTCTAAACGGAGGACGTCTATTCGCTTGGATAATATTATTTTCTTCTTGGTTTCGAATACCACGTGGCGTCCAGAGAATTGAACTGTTTACTATGTGAAAGATAAGGGTAATGCTGTTGTCGCGTGCTAGAAGAACTCTCCTGACTAAGAATTCGTAGATTGCTTTCATTGTGAAGGGTTTCCTTGTTGCTGAGGGCTTGTGGTTGACCTCGCCTTCGTCATGACTCCCTCACCGAGTTCAGAGGTCAAGGCCTACGACGACTCGGTACCAATAGTACGTATCAATCTTGTCACCTTTGCTTGTGAGGCTTGGTTTCTTTCTTTTGTTTATCCCCAAATGCCAAGCACGTTCTCCTATGCAGGTTTTGTAGTGATGCTGACGAGTGTGTGCACGTGTGCATGTATGTGTGTGTGTGCGTGTGTGTCTGTGTGTGTATGTGTGTGTGTCTGTGTGTGTGTTTGAAGGGAGGGAGGGAGAGAGGGAGGAAGGAAGAAGGAAGGAAGGAAGGGAGGGAGGGAGGAAGGAAGGAAGGAAGGGGGGAGAAAGGAAGGGAGGTAGGAAGGAATGAAGGAATGAATGAAGGGGGGGGGGGAGGAAGGACGGAAAAGAGGGGGGGGGGAGGAAGGAAGGAAGAAAGGTATCTATTCAGTGTTTAAGGTCTTAGCCTATATTACGTAGAGAGAACGTTACAGAAGATGTAGTTGCATGCACTTCGTGCGGATTCCTTTTTTTTATGGGGAAGGTATTATGGCTTACTTTGAATTTTTTTTCGAGAGTACATGTTATTTTCTCTTTCCAAAGTGGCTTCGGTAGCCTAGTGAGATTGCGGGTTCGGGGTTCGAGCCTCAGTTCGGTCCGACGTTGTGTCCTTGGGAAGGGTACTTTACCTGAATTTCCCACTTGGCTCGGTCCGCTCGGAGATGGACGTTAAACTCGGAGGTCCCGCCTCTTAAATAGTGTTGATAGGGGGCGCTAAACTTATACTATTTCACCTTTTTTTTTTGTCTGTTCAACTATAGACAGAAACGTGTCAGCGCTAAAAAGGTTTAAAATGTGTATCATTATTGTATAGTGGTCTCAGTATTGATTGTTCTGGCACTGAGCCATTTGTGCTTGATTGATATAGACATCTAGTGTATTTTGGTGTTTGTCTGCATCTTAGCACATTGCACGGCATGAAAGTAAGTACAATATCGGTGGGTGGTGAGCGGGTACTCTCGTGTGGTTTGCTTTTTCTTTCCCATCAAGCATCTATCGTCCTTATCTCAGTTTTTTTGTTTTTTTTTTGCATGTTACTTTCTAATAGTAGATCTAACACTTCTGATCTTCGGCACTTATATGACCGAATAGTGTTGCAAGTGCGGTAAAACTTACTTAAACTAGAAGTGCAGTACATGTATTTGAAGTCCTTTGTTGACTACTTGATGTCGTATCCATTATTTTTCTGGCTTTTGGAAGGAAAATGGATTAGTGTGATAAAATAATGCACTTTAAAAATTAATACTTGACTCTCCCATGTGCTGTGTCTCCACAGAACGAATGACAATGGAAGCTTTCACAATTACCTCTTCTTCTTCTTCTTCTTCTTCTTCTCCTCCTCCTCCTCCTCCTCCTCCTCCT